GGCCAGGAGTGGCCACTGCACTCTAGTCTGGGCAACAGAGTGAGACTCCAACTCAAAAAAGTAAAAATAAAAAATAAAAATAAAAGTAAAAGGAATGAAGAAATTAAGAAAACATTTCACAACCATTGTAGCAATAATTTATTCAGGTAAGAAACACTAATTTTCAAATTATTGGGTGAAAATGAGATGAAGAAGATTTCACAAGTATCTTCTCAAAACATGTATTAATGACAAAGGGAAAGACAAAATAACTTTACAGCAGAGGCATCTGGTAGACCCTGAATCATGTAGTCACACGCCACTATACAACCGCCATCATGTGCCATCAGACATAACGCAACAAGAAGAACTAGTATCATTTCTGTGGTATTCTGGCCCAAAATGCATAATCTGGCTCCAAATCATGAGAAAATAGCGAACAAATCCAAACTGAGGGACAGTCGATAAAAAAATGACTAGCCTGTAATCTTGAAAACTGCTGAGGTCATGAAAGTCAAGGAAAGACTGAGGAACTGCTCCAGACTGAGAAGACTAAAGCGACATGGCAACTGAACATAGCATGTGATCCTCGATGGAATCCTTTATTATAAAAAAAAATTAGCAAAATTTACAAGGAATCTCTAGATGTAAAAGGCAATTTTTCATTCTATTAGTACAGCTTGTCTTTAAGTTCAAAATGGTTTCAAAATTAAAAGACTAAAAATATACTGGTAAGTCTAACAGTAACTATATAGATGCTCAAGCCTCCTTTAAACCAGATCCGGCAATGACCAGATCAATGACATGCTGGCACTGAACAGTACATTCCTTCAGGTGGGATACATGCTCACCAATCTCTAGTCTACACCTGGTCAGCTTTCTTCAGTGAACATTTAGGTTTATGACCTTTTATTTAAATATCCACATATTATCAAATTTCATATTATTTAGGTCTGAAAGCTCAACATAATTCCTTTATTAATAACAACTTAAACGAGGTAATACTTTGGTAAGTATCCCAGGACCAAATACAGGTATATGTTGCTTAACAATGGGGATACTTTCTGAGAAATGTGCTGTCAGGCAATTCTGTTATTGTGTAAACATCCTAGAGTATACTTACACAAACCTAGATGGTATAGTCTACTAGACGTCTATGCTATATGGCAATAGCCTATTGTTGCTAAATTACAAACTTGTGTAACATGTTACTGTACTGAATACTGCAGGCAATTGAAACACAATGGTTAGTATTTGTGCATCTAAATGTAGAAAATGCAATGCATTGTTCTATGATGTTATGATGGTTATGATGGTGATAGGTATTTTCAGTTCCATTATAATTATAATCTTGTGGGACCATCCTTGTATATGCAGTCCATTGTTGACTAAAACATTGTTATGTGGCACGTGATTACATGGCTACACTTATCCTAACACAGGCCAAAATCTACATGATTGAGTCTTGAACCTCCTTAATGAGCTCAAGATTTAGGAAAGTTGTCACAACAGATGTTTAAAGCCTTGACTTTTAAGTCAAGAAAAAATGAGGACGGTCTTACTTTCTTTGCTAAATTTGAAACCCTGAGTACTATTTCACAGCAGCCTAATGATAAATATAAAACCATATTGGCCCTTTTTTAAACCAAGCTAGAAAGAAATATGCATTGTCTTTGTATTCTAACTATAAATTCTTAATTCAAAAGCTACCTTCCCTTTTCTAATGTTTCTCACTGAAAATCAAGACAATGATATAATTTGTCTAAAACTCTTGAGTGTCTGTGTGAAGAAAGGACTCCCATGTTAGACATATAGCTGGTGCCTGATAAACATTAAATGAAACTACACTGGAGTTGCCTGTTCCAGGATCTTTACAAATATGGAACCAAAACAAGAAGGAAAGCACAGAGATAGACAGTGGGATCTTTTAAACTCTCTACCTTTATTCAAAAATTATTTTGTTCTTCTAAGAATATGATACTGTAGATTGTTCGAGTCAGAGTCATAGATAGTCTAGATGTAGGACAGTTAAACCCCTCCATTGAAGGTATATTTTCTAACAGACATTCACTACAAATGTATAAAGTAAAGAGAAGGCCAGCCCTGAAGAGACTATAGCCAAGGCACAAGAGTTCTCTTTCAGCAGGTGTGGCCATTTTGTGCCAGAAAGGCCTGGATGATCAAGAGACAGCACCTCAGGCAGCCATGCCAGGAGCCACTGGGATTCATCTGGCCTGACCCAGAAAAATCTCATGGACGAGAACAAGAGGCCCCAAAGCGCTCTGATCTGCTGTCAACCAGCTGCAGCAGGGAGCCTGCCAAAGTACTGCAGTGACTAGGCAGCGCCCTGCAGAGCGTCTGGGAGGGGATTACCAGCCTGATCCCCTGTCTTCAGAGCCAGAAATGACTCAAACTTCACAAACAGCAAGGGCTTGCCAGGGAGGGTGACAATGAGCACTGGAAAGGGTTTTCTCCCCCTGTTGGTGTCTCTCCACCCCTACCCCCCCCCCACCGCTTGCTGCTTTGGCAGATTCTGGACAGTGTGCAGCCTGTGAGGTAATCTGAATTCCTTGGCAACCAGCAAGTACCTGAATTCTTTCAAAACCACAGGAATCCAGCAGAGAAAAGGTAAATATCCCTGCGGAGCCAGCGTTAATTAGCAAGGAAGGCTACTGGAGAAGGAACTTGGGTGGGGAGGAAGAGAAGGGCAACGCAAATGCTTTGGGGTCTTTTCTGAGGTTCCACTGGATAACATGGCCGAGGCAGAAAAAAGGCAGTTCTGACCAGGCCTTTCTCAGTGTCTTCTCCTCCCGCCTCCATAGCCCGGGTGGAACTCTCTCAGTTCTTGGGGTGGGCACTGTCATGCCCCCCAAGTTGCTGGTGGGATTCTATCTTTGGGATTCAAACAACATAGCTGATTTTCAACTCAATTTTATCTTAACTTTTTTGAACTTTTTATTTTTCCTGTTTCATTGAAAATTTGGCTACTAGCTTTGTCTCAAAAAGGGCTTTGTCAAATCATTTAAACCCAATATTGGATTCACCTAAAGCTGTAAAAATCCAGGACAAAATCTTTTTGGATTTCACCTCTGACAGGAAAAAGAATCTACACCATTTTGGTAGGGGAACAGTACCCCTTTCTGGAAACACAGTGTCCCCTGCTGGTGCAAAACAGCAACAGGCACACGAAATTCAAAAGCAGTGTGGACGTCTGAGGTACTATAAGAATCGCAAACACTGCACCCAAATACCAAAAAGACAAATTCATTTTAACACCTCTTCAATATTTTATCCACATATAATAGTGGATGTTCTCCTACCTCCTATGGGAATAAAACAAAAACAACTGAAAACACCAAACTGTAAAGAATCCAGGATTTCAGTAAGTTTAAGGTCAAACATTTACACAAAGTAACTTATTTCACAGAACCGTCTTATGAAATGAACTTAATCTTTCTGCCACCTAGCATTAATTTTAGAAGTGTCATGGTGTAAGAGCTTTCCCTTCTAATGAAGGAAACTCACTGTATCTGCCTCCAGTTCCATCTCTTTAGGAAAGATTAGGGTTTTCCTTGTTGATACCTCAAAGTAACTTAGTGATCTCATCCCAAACTGATTCTCTTCAGTTTTGTCTACATGAAACACACACGAGCCAAAAGCTTACAAAAAGCTGCAAATTTGGAGATGCAACGGCCTATCGTTTTACATAATGACAGAGTTCAGCAACTCAGGATTAAAAAGCAGCAGATGAAGCCAGGATATGTAACAAGTGAAGACCCAGGAACTTAGGCTCACTGGAAATTACTGCACAGAACAATGTGCCCTGGTAGGACTGCAGCAAATGACCCTCCATGTTGCCACGCACCAGCCTTCTGTCAAGCGCTGATAAAACTTTTATACTGCCCTATACTTTCAGGTAAGTCTAACCAAAGCCCTAAAAATTCATGTTGTCTTTTGGTTCAATTCGTTCTGAGTTTTTTTAAAAGCGGAGTTTTTATAACTATTCTGAGAAAATGCATCAATTGATTTATATTTATATTTATATATTTATTTTACATTTCTCTGGAAGCAGTACATTTAGCGGATTCTGACTTCCAACACACACCCAGTAGCCAAAGCACTTGCATTAAGTGTAGTAAATTCTATAGTAAACATTGGTGCTGCTCTCATTTTGTGCTCCGAACCATGAAGGTCTTAAAACCACACCAAATTTTACATGGGAAGGGCTATTAATATTGTGGTGAAATACCTTTGGAATACTGAGCAAAACATATTTCTATGATATCCTTGAGAAACAGTGAGGCATAACCTTGATATCTTTTCTGTATTCTCAAAGTCCAATCTGTGGCAGTTCCCAAAGCAGGACACAGGAGGCAAGTTAAGGTGAGAATGGGTGGAGGGAGGAGAATGAAGAAGTTCCTGATATAGGGAATGCTCAGAAGTCTCAAACTGCAAAGCTGAAAATCCTCAGCACCTTGCATGATTGAGCAGAATCTAGGAGTACATTTCACCTTCATTTTGTTCTAGTTAACACAAGGAATCGACTTTCACACTTGGTCTTATATAGCTGTACTTCAAGGCATGAGAGCACATGTGTATACAAACACTACAGAAAACATCTTTCCTATAAAATGCTCATTCAAGCTGGGAGTCAGTTCATGTTCAGATGCCTGGTCCAGCCCTTTATCCAGTAACTGGAAGCTGTTTTCGTTCTCCTCTTCCTCAATTTTGAAGAAATAGAAGGTCAGAACTAGGGAGTTTCCATAGCTTCCAGAGTTCACAGGGTTCAAACACATACATCTCAGTTAAAATTATAACAGCGCTTACAAATGCTGTCACTGCCACCTAGAGGTGAAGGGAGAAAGGACTCCAGCAGCTAGAAACTTTCGTTCACTCCCACTCTGATTCTAGTCATAGGATACAATAAAAAAACAAAGTATATAAAATAATTAAAATACCATTCTAAAACAATACTTTTCGGAGTTCAATATTTGTCAAAGCACCTACACATAACTAGAAAGTCTTGTTTTACTCAAAGTATTTCCCACTTTCAAAATGAATTTTCTAAAACACAGAAACATACACGTGCAAACCACCTCCTAAATCGCTATGTTCTATAATAACATCAAAACCACTATGCATACAAGGAACTCTTGGGCAAACTAGTTCATTAAAAAAAAATTAATGTTGAGAGAGTAAAGAACACAAGCATAGCAAAGTTACATACTTATTTTAAACAATCTAAAGGGTTTACAAAAACAGTCACCTGTGAAATTGTGTGCATATGAAAAAAACTTCAAATTAATATGACGTGAACTTAATCGTGTAAATTACATTGCCTTAAGACCTGAAAAGCACCTCAGACTTTTTCTTGAACAATGTATAGATGTTGAGCATTCAATACATTTACAATGTATATACAGCCATAGTAAAGTAGATAACTTGCATGTTAATAAAACAAAAGTAGCAAATCATCTCTAAATACCAGAGGGCATGAAACTGTTCCATTCTTGAGCTCTGGAGTCAAATCCATACATTCAAGTCCCCTCACTTCCCTCACCTTTCTTAGTTTTCTCAACTGCAAAAATGCACCAACTGTAAGGTTTTTGTGAGGACTGAAATAAATGCCTGGTATATAACACATAAATAAATGTGGGGTTTTATTTTTCTTTCTAGATCTATTCTGAAGAACAATGGCAAATTATCTTAATACCCTAAGGTTATAAAAACAAGTGTCATTGCATTAAAAAAACCCCATGTGATCTTGGATCCCTGCTGGGAAAGGAATGTGTTTACACATACTTATGTGTGGATATGCAAGTGAGACTACAGACTAGTAAGACTGATTTCTGAAGTTCTTCTATACACAGTGGTTTTGATGTCATAGAGTACAGCAGGAGGAGGTAGTTTGCATCTGTGAATAGTCAAGCTAAAAGAACATGATCCAACCTAAATAAACTCTTTAATAGGTCCACTCTAATACCGACCCCACCCCTCCACCCCAGAACAGTCTCTTACCTAGCCAATCCTTCTTCATAAAGATAGATGACAAGAGGGTCATAGGAAGTTACAAGCACATACAGGCGCACGTCAAACTTGAAATCTAAAAATAAAGTTTGTATTCACAGAAAAAACTAAGTTCATTTGTTTTCTATTATAAATAAACAGAACGTAACCAAGAAATATGAAAGAAAGAACACTCCTCTCCACATGAAACACACACTGTCCACATGCCTTGCTTTTTGAGGATAAATAATTCTACTATATAGTTGTACTACATATATAGTACATTACACTATAATGTACACATAATGTGTGTAAAGTGTGTATATATCATTTTAATATATATTAATTACTGTATAGTTTTCATATATAAATTAATGATTAACCTGCAAAGTATTTTCTCATATTATTTCATCTTCAAAATAATCCCGTAAGGAACCAGCCTTCTTTCTGAAGCCACAGGTGCCAAGAATTTCACACTAGCATAACAGACTTACTAGAAAAGGTCATGAAAAGGTGATAAGTGTAGCAAGATCTAGCACAGTCTAGTCAAGGACCTTAATCACACTCACCGTCTATGAGCAGGGGGTTGTTAATGTAACGGGAGACCAGGATGTTCTCTTCCAGGGAAATCTGGTTTGGCTATTGAGTAAAGAAAAAGAATGAAAGAGTAGAAATGCAAAAGAATCCTAATTTACAACAAGGGAACAAAGTTCTTAACCTTTTAAAAAATGATAATGTGGAAAACTAAAACTCTAGAAAGTTTTCCTCCAAGGTACCCATATATTCAATTGGCCACATAACACCACTTCCATAAATGCTGTGGGTATCCAATTACAATGCAGGAAATGTAAATTTACACATCAATGCTCACATAATAAATACAGCCTAAATAGCTTTAAAGATTTATAAACATGATACTAAATAGTTATATGCCAAGAAAATAAGAGCTACTTTAGAAAGAATAGCTCACTTTCTCCCCAGTGGAAAGTATGGTGAAAACTTTACAATTTTTCTTTAAACAAAAGCTTTCATAAGATGTTCAGAGAACTTACAGAGCCACAGTGGATCCTAGCATTTACTCTGAAATGAGATGGATGTTAGGGGCACTTGATAAGCAACCATGTGTGAAGACTAAATTAGATCTTTTAAAGAATTCTTCAATTAAAAAAAAAGTTGTTTACACAATAAACTGCAAGTACTACTGGACACTGTATAAGGCACTGGGCATACAGGGATGAGAAGCACAGAAATAATGTCTGCCCTCAGATAATTTAGGATACAGTAGGCCCTATCTCCAAAGAGTTTAATATATAAATAGAGAAAAAACACAATATTTAATTTAAAGAACACAAAGCAGCTTATCTGCAAATGCAGGATGTCAGGCTGCAAAGTGAAAGTGCAGACCAGCCAGGTGGGACCAGTCAGGAAAGGTTTATCTGAAAGAAGAGGTGCGGAGGTGAACATTGAAAGTTATCACGCGGAAAGAAAGCCATCATGGGACAGCAAGGAGGTCCACGCCCTAGGACTGAAAGGTTGAACTGGGAAACAGTGAAAGGCACAGTCAGACAGCCAGGAGAGAGGGACCCCAGGGCACAGGGATCTGAACTCCTGGGAAGGAGGTTAAGATTTGATTTTTTTAAATGTTTATCTTAAAGATACAGGGTACAATTCAGGGTTAGGTATACAAATGTTCATTATACAGCTACCCTTGTTGATGAGGTGTGTCCCCTCTCCCCCAGCAGATTCCCACTACTGACAATCCCACCTCCCCGATACCCCTGTAGTTTTCTCACTACTGCCAATCCTTTTCTTATAATATTATGATAATTGTTCAAGGCCCACTTATGAGTGAGAACATGTGATATTCAGTTGTTTGTTTCTGTGATAGATCACTCAGTATTATAGACTCTAAGTCCCTCCAATGTCGCGGTGAAGTTCATAATTGTTCTTTTTTTTTTTTTTTCTGTGTGTGTGGAGTGCAGTGGCACGCTTACAGCCACCCCAGCATCAATCTGCTGGGCTCAGGCGATCCTTCTGCCTCAGCCTTCCAAGTAGCTGAAACTACAGGCACCAGCTACCACGCCCGGCTAATTTTTTATTTATTATAGAGATGAGGTCTTGCAAGTTGCCCAGGCTGTTCCCAAGCCCATGGGCTCAAGCAACTCACTCACCTCAGCCTCCCAAAGTGCTGGGATTTACAGGCTTGAGCCACCACGTCTGGCCAATTTTGTCCTTCTTTATGGCTGCCAGAGGAGCAACTCCAGAGTCAGATGGACCCCTCATCTTCCCTGTTGCTCTCTCAGGCAGAACACAGCTTCCACAACCCAGCTCTATGTGTCGCACGGACATAAACAAATAGGGACTGATTCACCCTAGTGGATCCAATCGCCCATACCATGTCCCGACTCCCTTACATTTCCTGATCAGTTTCTCACAAGTACTAGTGCAGTTTTGAATCAGCTTAGTAAGAACTAATGCAATCATTGTAGAGCTGCAGGCTGTGTTCCGATCCTAAAACCAAACAATCACAGCTCTCCTCCTTCTGAGTAACACCTATGGACTACAATAGAGATACGATATTTTGGCCACAAAACACACTATTTCTATTGTAGCCTATAGGTCCAGTATATCTATTTTGTAGCCTATAGTTATCAACTATAGGACACAAAATCTCAGGGACTATACTAATACTATATTTACCACAGCTAATCAACCCACTTTCCTCCACACCAGAGAAGACTCTGGCAGCGGTCATCACTCCATGACACATCTGATGACCACACCAATTTCCTCCCTTACCTTCCTCACTGCACATATGTATCCTTGGAATTATGTATAACATAAATCTTGACATTATTTACTACTTCACTGCTTGTTCTATTGCCTTTAGCTCTCCTTTATATCTGCAATGGAAAAGGTCATGGAAGAAATGGCTAATTTGGGTAGCTTCTCTGCATAGTGTTACACATTAAGAGCAACTAACGAAAGCTTTTTGATACCTTCAAGTCCGCTTCCTTTTCATCAGTCCCCAACGAACTCATTTTAAATTATTTTGATTCCACGTTCAAATTGCCTCCCAAAGTATGCTCAAGTAGGAATCTGAATTATTGGGAAAGTTAGGAACACATCCACATTTCTAATTAGACCTTAAGATTAAAGCCCATGGTATCTGCCAAGCCACTGTAAAGTAAAAGGTATCATGGCTAAAAAGTATATACTCTGGAATCAGCTAGACTGAGTTACAACCTTCATTCTACCACTTACTAAGGAAATAATAACTACCTCACAAAGTTTGTATAAGATTAAATGACATTATGCTTGGAAAGCACAGTGGTAGGCACACGATAAATGCTCAGTAAATATCAGTTATTACTGCAAAGTTTCTAGTATATATATGGTTCTAACTATGAAGTTCTATACATCAACAGTACTTGTCACTGCAATGCCACATGCCCTTCGACTTAACACACAACACTGAGTTCTAGTGAAGATATATAAGAATGTGGAGAATTTCTCAAGTTTTAAGGAGTGACAACACAGGACACACAGCAGGCAATCCCTACATATTTGTTGAGCAATGAGAAAAACAGAGACCTAATATAAAAACATACGAGGGGGACCCAAAAAAACCCAGAGTTTATTTATTTAAAAATTGTGTATTTATTCTTATATGTTTAAACTTCAGTCACCTTCAAAGTACTCTCCATTTGACAAATATACCTACTGAGGTGCTTTTTCCACCATTCAGAATGGTTTTTGAACTTGGCAACTTTGATGCCTTTCAGTGCTTCTGCCATTTTTTGGTTTAACTTCTTCCATCTCAGCAAAATGTTTCCCTTTGCAGACTTTTTTATTCTCAGGGAATATAATCTTAATCCGGGAAAACAAAAGAAAAAAGTCACCTGGGACAAGATCAGGTGAATGGGGGTAGGGAGGAAATGGGGGTGACATGCCGTTTTTGGTCAAAAACTGCTGAACACTCAGTTCGTGTGGGCAGGTGCATTTCACGGTGGAAGAACCAGTTACCAGTTCGTCACAACTCAGAACATTTCTTCTGCAAATCATGATGCAACCTTCTCAAAACTTCCAGATGAAAACTTTGGCTGACTTCTTGAATCATATGTATGTTAACTTCACTTTGAATAAACCTGATATAAGCAAATCCAAGTTTACAAAAGCTGAGTATACTGCCACAAATGTATTAATTATTTTTTAGTTTTTCTCAAAAGAATTCTTAGTCTTAAAAAATAATTTAGTATAGAATTCCTTCAGTCATTTAAAAATACTTTACTTATAGCCCTTTAAGAACATAGATTTTGCATATAGAAATATTTTCAATGAGTCATAGATTTTAAGAAATTTAGAAAACTTGATTTGCTTAATACATTGCTATCATATTCTAGTCACTTTTTCACTTATTCATTTACTGACTTATTTATTCATGCAGTAAACCTGATTGAAAATCCACTATATACTAGACTTGATGCCTAGTTTGGTGCCTGGATCTCATGTTTATTCACAGGTAATTAATGAATACTCACTGACAGGATGATTACTTGTTGAATATTGCTCTGTTTCCCACCTGAAAAGTAGCAAAACATGTCCTCAGAGTTCCAACCAGTGCTGACCTGAGCCAGAATTATGAAGCAGGACACAAGCCAAACTAAGTAGTTCACTCAGGCACTGAAGCTAAAAGAAAGTAGAGCAGATTTCTCCCATGGGTGATGTTGGATGCCACAGCAGATCCTTACTATCATTGAAACTTAGAAAGAGAAACACAAAATAATCCCAGAGCCTGACTCAACTAAGATGAGGGCACTAAGTGAGGATATAGGGGAAAAAAAAAAAAAAACAATCTTCGGCTGACCGATCTGAAGGAACAAATTTCGAGTGTACTACAAGCAGCCCACCCTCCAAAAGATAATTCTGGATTTTTTTGGGGGGGGTCCCCCTCATATCAATAAAAAGAAACAAGAGAGTACCGAATTATGTTCAAAAGATAACAGTATATAGAGCGACTTAACACTCTCCTGATATGTCAAAATCTCAGGGAATATATTAATACTATATTTACCATGTGTGAGACAAGGAGGACAAAATTTGACTTCCATAATCAAATTCATACCTTAATCAGAAAACACTAGGTCTTTCCCCTCCTTAATTTGACTATACCAAATTAGGAAAAGACGGCATATAGTCATGGTTACTGTAGGAGCTAGAGCAAACACAGTTTTTCTTTATGCTGTACATCTAGAGTTAAAGAGCACATCACTGAGAGACCACGGTAGCCAACCAACCAGGATGCTTCCATCTGTAGGAGTTCTCTTCAGCATTACACAAAAGTCACGCTTTTTTCTAGCCTGTATCCTGACCTTGCAATGGTAAAAATTGCTATTTGTAGGTATTTTCCAAAAAGCTATGATGATTATAAGGAAGTTTTAATAAGAGGCTCTCACTCAGTGGGAAGACAGGGAAAGATGTTTTCATTTGACCCTCACACCTACCTCCATCCCCCCCACCAAAATCCCTCACCCACTCACTGTAGTTCTGCTCCTAGACCCTCCACCTCAGCTCTCCCTCTCTTCCCCCCTCAAATCTAAAAGGAAAGCAGGCAGCAGCCTTGGAAAGAGTTACTTCAT